CCGGCCCGAGAGATCTGCGCGGGCCTCCGAAAGTGTCTCCTCGTGCAGGCTGCTGTTCCTCCAATCCCGCGGTGCTCCTGTATCTGCAGAGGCCAAGGTCTCCGGGCGCCGACGAGCTGGAGCTCTGCATGGGCAGCCACTTCTCGGTGGGTGTCGGCACCGGCTGGCTGGGCGTGGAGATCTCGCTTGATTGGGAGCTCCAGCGCGCAGGGCTCACTGTGAGGCAGGGCCACTCGACGAGCCCCACCCACGTCCTGCCCTTCGCGAAGAGTTGCAGCGAGGCGCGGGTCCTCCTCATGTACAATTTCACGGGGGACTGCTGTGCGGAGTACCAGGACATCTTGCTGCGATGATCGTGGCTGTTGCTGTCCGTCTCTTCTTTCTCGTCCATTTTCCCCCCTCTCCTTCTAATCATCCTCTTCTTTGCGCTTATTTCGCCGTTCAGGTGTACATATGGCTTCGCCAGCTGCACGTGCTAGGAGTAGGTCTCGACTGTGACACGCAATCGCTGCTGCGGACAATGCGACAGAGCAATCTATAGATACAGTCAGAATCAACGTAATCATGATGGTTGTGCTTCCTTTGTGGCATCCTTGCACAGTCCTCCTCCCTCTCACTTTCCCTGGTGAAGGTGTGGGCATGTGAGTGTCTAGCGTCCTTGCAATCGCCGTTGTTGCCGAATGCGACTGTCTGGAGCAGCATTGCGGCAGACGGAGCGAATCCTCACTCCTCGTCTTTCCCCCGTCGGTCCTCCACTCATCCCCTTCCATCCCCATCCACTCCCCTCCCTACCCCACCTACTTCGCTCGACTCCCCATCCACTCCCCATCCACTCCCCTGCCCTACCCTCCTCACCCCACTCCCCATCCCCTCCCCTCCCTGCCCCTAAGTTCCATCCGCTGCCCCTCTTCCTCCACTCCCATCCGTTCCCTCCCTGCTCTCCCTCGCTTTCGATGTCTCCCTTTTCCTCCACGATCCCCGCTCCAGTGCGCCACCATCCGCGCTCTCCCAACGCCCGCTTCCCCTCGCTCTCGGCTTCTCTTCTTCCCCAAGTCCCGCTCCCGCGCGCCTCCACCCGCGCTCTCCCGGCGAAAAGCCGGGGCGACGAACCGAGGGCGGGTACTTCGCAGTGTGGGACGAGTGGGGCTCGGTGCTGCGCCGTGCAGAGAAGTGCATGAGGACAACGGGCTGTCGTGTCTCCGCTGGCGCGCTGCAGGGCGGAGTCATGCTACCAAAGGGCGTGGGCGTTGGTGGTGCTACGCCGTGCAGAGAAGTGCATAAGGACAACAGGCTGTCGTGTCGCAGCTGGCGCGCTGCAGGGCGGAGTCATGCTACCTGACCGGCCCCAAAGAAGGTTGGGGATCAGCGCTGCGCCGTGCAGAGAAGTGCATGAGGACAACGGGCTGTCGTGTCTCCGCTGGCGCGCTGCAGGGCGGAGTCATGCTACCAAAGGGCGTGGGCGTTGGTGGTGCTGCGCCGTGCAGAGAAGTGCATGAGGACAACGGGCTGTCGTGTCGCAGCTGGCACGCTGCAGGGCGGAGTCATGCTACCAAAGGGCGTGGGCGTTGGTGGTGCTGCGCCGTGCAGAGAAGTGCATGAGGACAACGGGCTGTCGTGTCTCCGCTGGCGCGCTGCAGGGCGGAGTCATGCTACCTGACCGGCCCCAAAGAAAGTTGGGGATCAGCGCTACGCCGTGCAGAGAAGTGCATGAGGACAACAGGCTGTCGTGTCTCCGCTGGCGCGCTGCAGGGCGGAGTCATGCTACCTGACCGGCCCCAAAGAAAGTTGGGGATCAGCGCTACGCCGTGCAGAGAAGTGCATGAGGACAACAGGCTGTCGTGTCGTAGCTGGCGCGCTGCAGGGCAGGGTCATGCTACCTGACCGGCCCCAAAGGGCGTGGGCGTTGGCAGGTTGTCACTGGGCCGATGACAGGCCCGACCCTCACGCCGCAGTCATTAGGACGGGGCGCGTTGTGCCCAGGTCGATGGAGAGTTGGGGGAGGCAACGAGCTGTCATTGGCCCCTCTGCTGACCTGGACCCCCTTCCAAGCCAGTCTCGCAGCCTCTGTAGGGCGTGGTTTCGCGGAGACCTGCGGAATGGCAGTTACAGGGACTGCAGCGGGACACGTGGAAGTTGGAGCGACGTGCAAGTCTTTGATGCCAGTCTTTCTATTGCTACAGTCGGATGACGTGCGATGCCGCGACGTCGGCTGCGCCACAATCGTGGCGTGTGGCACCGGCGACGACGTTACGAAGGATGCGCAACATCGACTATGCCAATGACGTGCACACGCAGCCATTGGTGGCGTCACTGTCGGCAGCACATACAACCTCAAGGATCGAGATGTACCTGTCTGCGGAGGTCACCTCCCATTTTCTGTGGTACCGCTCTTCCGCCTCTGGACTGCTGCTCTGGAGCACGACGTTCGTCTCTGAGTTTGGCGGCCATGTTCTGGATGACGACGGGCACCTTCTGATCACCATAGCTCGTATGTAGGATC